TCGTAAAATTTTTTTCGCGTAGTCAGCAGGAAACGTGGAAATAAACAAAACAAACGCTTGCGCGTTAAAGCAAATTCAAATGCAAGCGCTTGCGGTTGGACGTTGTTGAGGGAGTAATTTTGAATGTAAGTGTATAGGATAAAAAATATTGTGTGCACCACGGCACGAAAGTTGTTTTCCGGGCCTCAGGAAGTAGCCAGCCTCGGCTTCGCCTCGCCTGGCCATATCTTCCATCGCCCCGGAAAACAACCACTTTCCCGCCTTGGTACACAAAAGTATTTGATCTTATCGAGAGATTAAAGATGATAAAAAGTGGAATAGTGAAGGCGTCTGCGCAGTCCCTAATTAAATATGATGGAATTTGATCTAAACCCGCGGTGACTTTGTATTTTAGTTTCTTTATAACTTTAGCTATGTCGTCGGTTGAAATTTTAGTGATGCATATGCAACTATTATTGTTGTACGTAGAACCCCGATTATCCGTGCTCAATGGGACCGGATGGCGCACGGATAATTGAAAAGCACGGATAATCCAAACAATTTATTGTTTCTTAGGGTAGGCATACGTATGTATACTAAAAATATAAGAAAAAAATCAAACCAAGGTATGTACAATAAATTCTACAAAAAAGTTCATAACACAATGAAAAAAAACAGAATTCTAGATAAGGTCTAACACAAGTACAGTTGCAACTTACATGTAGCACGCAGTCAAATGCGCTAATGCTAAATGGCTAAATTCCGCTTAACCTGCATCGGCTGATGAAAGATAATTCTCTGAGCATGCGCGCACTCGGTATTACAGCCTGCGTCTCCCTCATGGACTAGCGAAAATTCTCGTCAAGTGATTTACGGCAATGGTATTTCAATTAAAACTTTAAAAATGTAATTTCAAAAACGCGCAAGCATGGCACGGATAATCCGCATCCCGGATAATTCGCGCACGGATAATCGGGGTTCTACTGTATATCTCCGGTGCGAAGTTGCCTGTAGAAGATGAATGTGAGTAGACAGATTTAAAAAACTCCTTAAATTGGTTAACAATTAGATCCGGATCAGTATATACGTTCCCAGAATCATCAGCAAAATTATCAGGTAGACGAGTCAAATTTCGTTTATCGTTTATAAAAGTCAAGAAGTATTTGGGGTCGCTAAATATTTTGCCTTCCGTTTCCCGTAGGAATGAACTATAATCATCTCGTATCTGTTTCTTGCACAGCTTTCTTAAACGTTGAAACTCGCTACAGTAATAGTCCGTCTTGCATCTTTTGTATACCTTTTTCACTTAATCAAATCTTTAGAAATTCTTGAATACCATTTCGAATAGTTGGTCTTCCGTACACCCATGTAATTAGGTACAGTTCGTTCAACACACGTATAAAGTAGGTTATAAAATGTTGCTACAGCATCATCAACATTGGTGCAGTAGCCAAGTGGGGACCAATCAATACAATTAATTTCGTACTATAATTGAGATACGGTAGTGTTTTGCGTAGAAAGTTATTATGGATTTCTTTGAGCAAATATGTTAAAAGTTATATCTAATGGAGGATGATGGGAGTCAACATTAACCACGGGATCCAGGTTCCCAGTGACGGAAAGATCAGGTACATTAATTGAGAACACTAGATCTAATATTCTACCGTTGCTATTTAGCACTTGATTAAATTGCTTTAAGTCCAACATGTTGATAAAAGAGTTTATTATGCGCGTTCTTTTATCTATTTGCTGATAAAACAACGCAGGGCAGTTGAAGTCGCCAAAAATGAGAACCCGTTGGTCAACAATTAGATCAGCCAACTGTTCAAGATAAATTTCTATATCATGGTTAGTCACATGTGGTGGTATATACAGAGTGGCCCAACGAGAAGTATACAGAGGGCTTTTAGGGTATTAAATATTTTGTATTCGAGGGGTACAACTTTTGGAATACAAATCACGAACCCAAGTCTTCACCCCTCCACGTAGGGAGCTTAACCCCTAAAATTTTAAATGGAATCCTATGGCAAATGGCACATTATTTGAAAGCCAATTTAATCTTGATTACTAATCTGCTTTGCTTTTTAAATTCTATTGATTCGTTTCGGAGATATTCGCATTTGAAATGGTTTTTTCCCCTGATTTAAGTCCTTTGGATTACTTCTTGTGGGGATATGTAAAGAATAAAGTTTACGCTACTCCGCCCGGAACATTACAAGGGTTGCGAGCACGTATAACCATAGTGTAAGAATAGAATACACTATGGTATAAGCCAGCAATTTCGAGCGATTACCCTTGAAATCTTGCAACATCTACGGCAGCGTTTTGAAGCAAATCTTTATTATTGCATGGAAGCAGGCGGAAGGCAATTCGAGCATTTATTTAAATAAATGCTGTCTGTTTAAAGTTAATTGTTATTTTTTGCACAATTTAAACCTTTTTTAATACAAGGTGACTTAGATCGCATTTGTTTTGGGTTTTTTTACAAAAAACCATTTCAAATGCGAATATCTCCGAAACGAATCAATAGAATTTAAAAAGCAAAGCAGATTAGTAATCACAATTAAATTGGCTTTCAAATAATGTGTCATTTGCCATAGGATTCCATTTAAAATTTTAGGGGTTAAGCTCCCTACGTAGAGGGGTGAAGACTTGGGTTCGTGATTTGTATTCCAAAAGTTGCCCCCCTCGAATACAAAATTGACGTGTTCGAGGATTTTTCGAAATTTATAAATTTAATATCCTAAAAGCCCTCTGTATACTTCTCGTTGGGCCACTCTGTATATAGTAAAAACAAGAAGGGAGTATTGAGTGTGTGTGCACTTACAACCAACAACATCAATTAGCGGTGAGCATGCTCTTAGTGCGCACGTGTTGATCGGTTGTGCTGAAATTGCAGTTCTGACGGCTAAAACACCACCACCTATCGCATAATTTGTTAAATCAAAGTTACGGTCACTGCGAAACACATTGAATTTATTACTGAACAGTTCACTAGATGAAAATGCGTTATTTAACCACGTCTCAGAAAAAGATATGAAGTCAAAGTTACACTCACTAGTAGCCGTGAAGACATCCAGAGCTTTAGATCGCAATCCTCGAGTATTTTGGTAGTAAAAACTTGTGTATTTCTGTTGGGCTGTATTAGTTTTCCGCACGTTTATCAGATACGATAGTTGATATACCGCGGACGTATTTAATAGATATGTTTTTCCCCTTTAACTAAGCGTTCATTTAAAGTATGTTTCAGTTTGCGATAGATTTCCAATTCCAATGGAGTACGATCAAAGGAGATTGAGATGTTTTTAACGTCTGGGTATTCCTTCAGGTCTTTCACTTTACGTATTAGATTCAGTGCAGTGTTAGGAATTTCGAATGCAACTTTGTTTGGGCGACATTTCATAGGGTTAGTGGGATCCAGTTTCCCCAGTTTTGAGGCAGTGAATGTACGAGTATCATTATTTTAACGTTAACACATTAAGGATTTTAGTAATTAATTGAGTATCGGCATTATCATTAGTTCCTCGTAAGGACCGACCATGCCGCGTTGTGATGGTTATTGCAATTTAAGGACCCAGAAGGCTAAGTGGCCAGGTGGTTGGACTTGGAAAGACTACAAGAGTACGACTTCGAAACAGAACACCTCCACGCCGGGCAAAACCATCGCAATGCTGATGTCTTATCTAGAAAACCATGTCCTGAGGATTGTCGACACTGCTCACAACTGCAACACCAATGTGAAAAACAACACGTACGACGCACATCACTTGTAGATGGTAATTGGGTACCTCTACAACTTCGAACTGGTCAAGTAAGTGCTCGTGATTTGCATTTGATGATAAACTGGAAAGAAGGCCAACCTGGAAAGAGGTATCTCGATACGGTGGAAAGCAAGAAATCTGAAGTACCAAGACAGATGCACGACGGTGTATCAAGATTCTAAAATGACGAAAACCCTAGTTAGGGCGCGGGAACGATTCTACCGGCTTAATTGCAAACAAGATGTGAAGGTATGGTGCAGAAAAGTCTTTAAAGTCTTCCATTCGTCACAATTGTAAGTTATATTTGATGTGTGTAACGTAACGAATAGGGATAACATTCATTTTAATTATTTCAGGGCTTTTTTCTATTATTAAGCGGCAGAGCGAAGCGATACAAGCTTTATCGGGGAGTCGACGGTGTCCGTCTGCCCGTGAACACGATAACTGTCAAACGCTTGGACCGATATGGTTCAAACTTTGCACAGTTGACCTATATGCCATATGTAACAAGTCTATTGAAAATGGGTCAAATCCAATGACTTCGTGGGGTCACACCGAGGTGCTCTGTCGCTTTTTTAGACGCTCTATGGGTTTAATATTATATGTAACTTTCTACGAAAAGTACGTGGCCAACTGAATGTAATTTAAAAAAAGAAGAGTTCCATCATTTCTATTACCATCAGTAATTAACGATATCCAAAAGCTGTAACTCTAAATCCGGTAAACGACCACCTAAGGCCTAAATTGTTCCGAAGGTAACATACCGGTTGTGATTTTGGTGAAATCAACATTATCATCTTAATACGATGGGTCCCTCTGCTTATTTTATCCCCAGATAATCAACATTTAAAATGTTAAATAGTGTAACGGAAACGCTCCAGACATGACGTCGCCTTTGGCGCTCTGGAATTTTCTACGCGCGCGATAGTGGGATTTGTATAGGAATATTCCAGACTTATCCGGTAATTACGCGAGTGTTCTGGACTTACATTGCTTGCGTGTATAAATGGTTGCGGACCGAACATCGCAGGCAGTTTTACTACCGAACGAGATCGAGTACGTATGAAACATCGAGGGCGGAAATATAAATTGCGAAGTGTGTGATATAAATAATCGATATAAATTGTACGGTTTTTATAGTGATTTAGTTTTGTTTAATAAATATTGACATAAATCGAACCCGAATTTATAAATCACGTTACAATAGAAACCATTACTCATGTTAGGTGTCTAAGGATACGTAAAAAATGAAGCCGGCAATGTACATATTTATTACAAAAACACATAGCTGCATTGACAGGTTCAAATAGGAAGACATAACATGAAATCAAATGTAAAAACCATTTAGGTACAAAAGACCTCTATCGTGTCAATATCTCAAAATGAAGTAGGTAGGTAATGCAACGTTTATCGCCAATACATTGCATTGCAAATTTAAAGATTAGAAAATACAATTAATTGCCAAAATGTGATATAGGTAACAATATGGGCAGGATTGCCTAATCAGATTCTTCACAGCTGATTAATATAATGATCATGATTTGACAATTAGCATTAGAAGGACAGTATAGAGATGGTATAATAGTACTTGAAAATGTTCGATGTAAAAACTACTCGCACTGTTGCCGTGATTGCAGTATGATTCTTCGCAACACGTGGTACACGAGTAAAGTTTTGTTCTCTCTCCAATGATGATACAGCCTGGATCACAAGTACCGGTACAGTTCCTTTGCAACATCCACAATTTTGGAGTTCCCGTGACCTCTCCAGTTTTTGTAATTGTTGTCATTGATATCCTCTTGACCTAAACAAAATGAGGAATTGATCAAATAAAATATTTTTTACATTTTCAACATGTAAACAATTTAAAATAACAAAATTATATACATTTTAAATTAACTGACTGAGGATTGATTCGTTATTACGCAAACAAGCAAAGAAATCGACTTTTTATGTTGTGTGTTATTCTTTGTTTTTGAAAGGTAGGTATAAGGTTAGCACAATGTCTATTTGTTCGTATTAATGTAAATATATATTTAAGAGAGTCAGTTTATATTACTTCAACTTTTGTAAGTTTATCGATGAGTATTTACTAACCATATTGAAGATGCAAGCTTTTTTGTTGATTTCGCGTATTTACGTCTACCTCTATAAATATAACAATGAAAACAAATGAAAGTGGAAAACAAACATCAAAAACTTTATTATATTTTATTATTTTACGTGGTTGTACGCTTGAAAACACCGAGAGAGCTTTGGGGAAACTACCCGACTGAAATTCAGTCCTTCCAAACTTTGTATATAAATTATACTTAGTGATTTATATCTGTGCTTCGGTATTATAGACGATAGCATACAAAATAAAATACCCACATCACATGAAAATTTCATACGGCAAAATACGCCTACGTACGTTTATTTGGATGTAAATTGTTAATTATCGGTACCAAGGAATAATTCGCGATTGCGACTTTTCCACATTTATTTTACATTTACGAGTATATAAGAAGAAAGGGTCCAAAGCACGGGATAAAATAGGTAAGAGGTCCTCCAATTTTGTGGTCGGTTAACTTAAGAAAAAAACTACTAAAGTAGGCTCAATCTATCACCAGTTTTCTTACCAAGATCACAATCGCGTGCATTTATTTTTAAACGCAGCCAAACCGAAATAAATACGAAAAAATGTGCAAAAGATATAAATTGAAGAGGTCTAAAAAATGAAGTTATTTGATAAACTTATGAGAGACAGTTCCATGGAAAGTATCATTCTTTGTATTTGTCATAATTGATGACAATGCAAATCAATTACGGTAAACAAGTAATTTGTTGTCAGAGTGATATTCAAGCTGACCAACACACGCTTGCGAGACGATGTATCAAATGAAAATTCAATATTTGAAAAGGAGGAATGAATTAATAACCAATTAATTAAGGCGAGGTTTTACAATTCAAATTGTTGCAATTCCGCGCGCCAGAAGAAATAATTTGTGTGAGAAACAGCAAGTTCATCCGATGCAGTAGTCCCGCCTTGATTCACGACGGCGACGTCGACGCCCGATTACGAATCGGTTGGATGCTCGCGTTGTTCGAATTTTGCGATAAACAATGCATAGGAATAAACGCTATAATAAACATGGAAAATTACGACTATTAGCTATAATAAAAAAATCTAAGGCATATTTAGCTTTGAGTAGATGGCGGTAAGTAAAAACATAAACGTATTCCGTTGACAGGATGGGTCATCTCTAATTTAAATAATAAATAAGTATATATTTTAGCGATGCCAGGGATTGTCAATCTATAGTCGAATCGGTTGATGATGACAATAATTACGCTAATCCAGATTTGATTCAGTCAATGGCTTTTGAACATAATTTTGATGTAAACTGTGATTCTGTAGCTCATCCTTAGTCTCACAGTCCCGCACCACCACCAATTTGGAATTCAGATCAAGAAAGGTATAGTAACGCACGCATGGATTTAATTGTTGATTATTAACGATCCTCAGAGCCTTTATAGTTTTATATTGTCGTCCGTCCGTCCGTGTGCGCTATAACTCTTTTTAAAGGTAGCCAGGAATTTGTTGCATTTTTGGCAACCACATGTACTATGCGATCAAAAATGAGTTGCTGTCGAGTTAAGTTGCCTTTGAAATTTTTGTTTTACATGGAAAATCGTATTTAACTTGAACTTCCAAAGGCGACTCGACAGCAACTCATTTTTGATCGCCCGTTACTTTGATGAAAACATGTCAAAATCATTATTCATGTACCTAGATCGTTAGAAAAAAGACTAATGGCCATTTGCAACGACAAATTTAAGTGCAGCTTAGCTTACGCGTAGCTTAGCATCCATGACAACGATTATTGAGACAATGGTTGCCATGGATTTTAAGCTACGCTTAAATTTGTCGGTGCAAACGGTCATAAGAACATTATCTCAACGCTCAAAAAATGGATGCATTGTGATCAAAACATTTCAAATTTCATTTATCATTCATGTATCAAAATCGTTGGGAAATAGAACAAGAGCATTATTTCGATGTCCAAGACATGAATTTGATGCATTTTTGGCGACCACATGGATTTTGCTCAAAACATATCATAAGTTGTTATTCTTGCACCGAGATCGTTAGGAAAAAGACTAACAACATTACTTCAATGTCAAAGACATGAATTTAATGCATTTTTCGCGACCATATGTATTTTGATCAAAGCATGTCAAAATCGTTATTCATGGCACCGAAGTTTAAGAACAATTCTTCGTCAAATCAATTTCTTTTTCTTCGATTATGTACTCTAGTTCCGGAAGCTGATAAACAAATAGTATCTGATGCAGATGCAGCATTTCATTCTCTAAAAAAACATTACCCCATAGACGCTTTTTCCTGCGTCGGTTAGTTGAAACAGATTTAAATATGAAAATCGTTCGACGTCAAACAACTTAAGTGGCGTTTACATTAGGCAACTTCTGGTCCGACGACTAAGAGGATCGACTGAAAGTGGCCTACGATCGCCCGTGTGAACCCGATTTTCAACCGAGCCGGGTGACTACCGGTTGTTCAACTAGAAGTTGACTTTATAGAACAACTCGGTCGTTTCAACTCGCAGTCGACCGTCTAAACACTCGAGAACTAGTTGACAATCGATTGAAACAGATATTTCTGTTGTTTGTAAAAGAAGCAGGCAAAATGTCTAAAGTAAATTGGATTGGAAGCAAAATCATTAAATTTATAGATCTTTATGAACAGAATGAATGTCTGTGGAACAATTCTAGGACTCATATAAAAACTGTAATTTGAAGAAAACGGCGATAGAGGGAATAATACAAGAAATGAATTTGGAGGGATTAACAGTTACTGTTGGAGAGAAAAAATTAAATCCCGTAAAAGTGGAAGTGGAACTGAAGATGTATATGAACCGAAGTTATCTTGGTTCAAGAGAGTGGATGTCCTTCTACGACCTGTAACTGTTGTACGCAGCAGTTCCTCAAACATGGTAAGTAGTTTATAATTACATATTAAAATTGTCATACATAAGGCGACACAAAAAAAGATATAAAGAAAAAGTTGGATATTAGAAAACAATTTTTATTAGCTACCTTAACAACTAAAGTAACAAATTCACATTGTGTTGTGAATAGTATTAAAGTAAATTAAAATTGTTTATCTACCATTTCATCTTGCCAATAAACTGCACCCTTTCCGGAGAATATTCTGTATACAAGTCACGAATATGACGTGCTTGGTTACAGTATTTGTTGGTTGCAATACCACCGGTAAGATGCTCCATTCCGTTTGATTGATTGCGACGCCAAGATCCCTCTACAATGTGTCCATTATTCAGATCTTCAATATCTACCAAATTTAAAGGTATAAATAGGCGTCGATCAGTACATATTAACCAATTTTGCAAAGCACAAGCAGCTTTTGACGATTGAATCCACAGTCTTAACATCAACAGAAATTGGTTTTTCAAATGTTCTAAATACACTCACAAGTATTCCGAAAGCATTCTCTACTATGCGCCGCGCTCGGCTTAATCTATAGTTATATATTCGTTGTTTTCGGTTTAAGCTTTGAATATAAAATTAGGAAGAAGTCTAGCCTAATGGGAACTTGTGGATCCGTGACAATCGCAGGAGAGGTAAGGTGTACCTCTCCCACTTTTATAATAATATAATCGGTTTTAGAGCGAATATTATGCTCCGAATTGCGTTTGCACTGAAGATTTCAATACTGTAATCTTTTGTTGGTACGTATACTAGTCGCGCGCACTTTAAATGAAAACGCTGCCGATACCAATTGGGATACAAAAAATTTCATAGAACAAAAATTGTTGACAATTAAATTTACTATAAAAAAGTCCGCGACGGCATATATCTATCTTTAATCGTTTAGCCATATCAACCATTTAAAGTTGCACATCTTGATTGCGTTGGCATTCATAGTATCTTTGATTGCTTATCATATATTAAGGGTTGAAGATACATATATGCCATCGCGGACTTTTTTGTAGGAAATTAAATTCTCTACAATTTATCTTTTATAACTTTTTTTGTATCTCTTTTTGTTTTCTCAGCGTTTGTAAAAAAATGTACGCACATCTTAATTTTGAACTTTTAATAAACTTTTTAGTTAAAAAAGAATCTGGCGTAGGTACGACTCGAACCCTTGACCTACATGTTGTTATAATTTCAGGTGCTTTTGGGGGTTCCGGTTGGGATGATCGAAGCGTTGTAAAAATTGAAACTGTCGTTATTTTTTTGCCATTCTGCTCAAAGCGCAAGGGAAATATGCGAAAATGGGAAATGAAAAAAACGATGTTCTTATTTTTATTTTTATTATTAGTGCAATTCACATATTATCGAGCTCCTTGCGAGTATAATAAGGAAGGCCCTTTTGACATCTACGTGAGTTATGAAGTGAATTGCATGAAATTCAATATGGGCATAGCTTTAGCAATATAATACGCAATGGCAAAAGTTGAGCCTAATCGATTCAAAATGCATAGTGCTCTTTTGGTATCTCGGCCATATATGAACCGAATTGCAAACTTTTTTAAATTTAGAAATGTATTTAAATTACATTTGATACCTACATATGCACTTGGAATAAAAGCAAATGTAACGCCATTTTCAAAATTTGGTTTTGCGCATGCGCAGTGCCAACTTATTTATTTATGAACATAACAGGTTACCCCAATAACAATGTTCATGTATTGTTAATAAAAAAACTATTCGAAAACATAAAGAATATAAAGAATATATGTTAAGTTGGTAAAAAAAACAAAAGAAAAAAAAAGA